AGTGGTCCGTTAGCGTCGAAAACATCCCTGCTGCCGGATTTGAAGCACGAGCTTCGCGGGAGGCATCCTCGCCAACCCGCGATCTTGTAGGCTCTATTTTAAGACGCCTTGTGCTGACATGAGGGTTTCGCCCGAGACTTCCTCGGAACACGGCGAGGTTTGAAATCGCGGCCTAATCTTCGGTATGTCAAGTTCGAGAAATTCGCGTTTCGCGTGGGAAATCCTCACCAGTAGATGGCGCCGACCCGGCCTCCGAGAGCCAACCCGGCCTCGGAGAGCCCTACGTCGCGCCCTGGCAGCCCCAAAAGATTTCAGTTTTCCCGAAAAGGACCCCGACAGCCCCCCAAGAGGCCCCCCAGGATGTTCCAAGCTAGCCCCAGATGGCCGGGCTCCCTTCTCCCTCTTGCCCGCGCCGGGCTTCTTCCTCTCTCCCCCGTGCGTTGCGGTTTGATTCGCGTTCCGTGCAATCCTTTTTTCGCCCCATCGCCGGTGGAGTGACTCTGCCTGGCCGCCGACGCAAAAAGATTGTTGGATATCGCGCGCACAGTGCTTGTGCTCAGGGATTTCCCGTTTGTTTCTCAAGTAAATCGCGTGTCTCGAAGAAGAAGAACAAGAATATGCAACGCCATAAAAATACACTGTTGGCGCTCCGCGCGGATTTCTCGGATCCGCGCTGGGCCCCTCTGGCGGCGCTTCTGGCGCCGCCACTGGCGCGCTCCGCGCGCCAGGGAGGGGGTCCAGCGCAGATCCAAGAAAGCCGCGCGGAGCGCCAAAAGGATGCAGTTTATGGCGTTTTTATTCTTTTTGTGTAGTTACACGTTTTCGCCCGCCACCGCCCGTAGGCGCTTCGTGGAAACCTCGTGCGCTGGCTCGGTCTCTGGGTCTTCGCGTCGTCGCCTCCCTTGGTCGCCTCGCGGGCGCCTCGTGCGCCAGCTGGGGGTTCTGGGTTTTTCCATGCCGCCATCTGTGGGCGCCTCGTGGGCGTCGCGTGCGCTTGTTGGCGTTTCTGGACGTACATATCGATTTTCGTTGCAAAAGAAGAATCGACTCTACCACCCTCCCGAGCCTGGACTGATCGGATCCCCTGGGACACTGTACATTACATATGAGGCGTTCCAAAAAAGAGCTTTACATTCGAGGATCGCAGCAGGAGTTGCCATTTCTTCCTCGGCGGAAGGTGGTGGAAGGGCGGCGGGCACAATCGCTTACCTCAAACGATATTTTTGAGTAATCCCTTGCAAGGAAGACAATCAAATCAACACGCGCGCGAACATGTCGAAGTCATGCCAGACACATTTTACACTTGCAAGCGTTACAACATACAACCGTTCAAACCATGTGTTCTCGTCATCAAAGGTCTTGCAGATTGCTTGCCCGCGTGCATTTACTGATACGGTAGAAAATATCATGAGTTCAGCAATATTGTCTAGAACCCGCATTCTCATCTCACCACCCGGTCCATCCGCGTTGATCTATCATGCGCCCATCGCGCGAATCGTATCAGCAAATACCATGCGTGCTACATGCGCGCGCCGCCACGGGCGCATGTGGAAATCCTTCAAAACCATGTGTCTCGAAGCATTTCAAGACATAGCGATATAAACACATATGATACCAGAGAAAAAAAAACAAATCCGATTTTTTCAAAGGCTATATGGCTATGGGGCTATAGGGCTATAGGGCTGTAGGGCTATAGGGCAATAAGGCTGTGGGGCTATGGGCTATGGAGCCATAGGGCTATAGGGCTATACGGCTATTGGGCTGTAGGGCTATAAGGCTATAACGCTATAGTGCTATTGGGCTATATGGGGTATAGGGCTATCGGGGCTATAGGGCTATAGGGCTGTAAGGCTACAGGGCTATATGGCTAGAAGGCTATTAGGGCTCTAGGGCTATAGGGCTACAGGGCACCTGGGCACCCTTGCACCTGGGCACCTGGGCACCCGGGCACCCGGGCACCCGGGAACCCCCGCGCACCCGAGCACCCCGGCACCTGAGCACCCGGGCACCCGGGCACCCGGGCACCCGGGCCCGCCGCCGAAATCGGCGGCACACCTCAATTAACCATATGAATCCGCTAGGACCCCTACAGAGGCAAGCTTTGATTGGGGAATGTATGTGAAACAAACGTGTTTTTTGTGAACACATCCTTCCAAATTGATTGAATTTCTGCGCGCTCCCTTCCTCGCCACCCTCATCAGCGCCATTGCATCACCGCTTGTATATCGTCAGCGCCAATCGCAGCCATTGCTGCCATCATCATCACAAGTATTTTCATCCCCTACAAATGGCCATCATCACTGTCACCGTCGTGACCAGCACCGGTGCCGTCAATGGCCGCGTCATCGTCGTCGTCGTCGTCGTCGCTGTCGTCGCCGTTGTCATCATCGCCTGCATCACCCTCGTGTCATCATCGTTGCCGCCGTTGCTGACGTCATCATGATATCGCGCCCGCACGGGTCACCGACCCGCACTGAAGCGCCCGCGCTCCAGCGCGGCCTTCGAGATGCGCTGGAAAATGTCATCGTGACCGCAGCAGTTGTGCCAAACCACTGGGCGCTCTGCGCGTGCGTGTGCCCGCGCCAGCGCGGCCGCAGAGATGCGCTAGCAAGCGTCAACCGCTAGCCTTACTCGCGGCCGCATGGGTTTTGGCGAACAAGTTGCGGGTGGGATGGTGAGATGTTTGCGCGAGCATTTGGGTAGACGGCTTCATATTTTATAATGTGGATTGCACCCCACAGGTTTCGCGGAAATAGATAGCGGCTCCGATTAACATGGACTCTACCCACCTGGTGAAGCCGGATAACGGTCTCCCACGGGGTACTGACTTTTCATATATTTACGTTGCGCGACCGTTCATCGTGTATCTGACATCGCACCATTCCATCCGAACTGGTATCCACGACCTTCGCCATCCTCAACACTATGCAATGCGATACACATTTGCAGATCTAACAAGCGTGCGTGCCATTCTCAACCAACTACTGCCATGCGGCCCGAACTCTTTGCCCCCCCTGTTCCCCCGCGCACGCATGCCATCATGCATCCAAAGTTTGGAGTGGCTTCCTAAGCGTCTCATTTACGCCCTTTGCGGCAGAACGCACTAAGCAGTTCCATACAGGAGTACAGGGAACGCTGTACAACAGTCAATGCTGCTACAAGCGAATTGTATCGTAGAACGATCTTGAAGAAACGCCATGTCGACCATAAGGGATACCATCAGGGAAACCATACGGGAGGTCAGACGGGAGACCAATCGGGAGACCACTCGGGAGACCGAGACCTTCAGGGCATCCATTTTGGAGGCCTCTAATGGGACCATCCGGGAGACCGTGCGGGAAGCCATGCGGAAGACCACGCGGGAGGCCATCGGGGGGACCATTCGGGAGACCGTGCGACCGTCCTTGCTGGAGCCCCGGCGGGAGGCCCTTGCGGGAGGTCGTGAAGGGGACCGTGCGGGAGACCCTGCGGGAGACCTTACGGAAGATCACTGGGGGAGGCCGAGGGGGAGCCCTGCGGGAGGGGAGGCCAAGGGGGAGCCTTGCGGGAGGGGGAGGCCAACGGGACACCACACATGGGGAGGGCACGCGGGAGACCGTTCGGGACAGCGTGCGGGTGGGCCTGCGGGCGGCCGCGTGCCACGAGAGCCACCGATGCCGCACCCGGACGGGCTCACACGCGTGACGTTCGAGCCGTCACGTCGTACACTCACAGGAGACTGTTTTTTGTAGGATCGGGAGATCTTCTTGGCGTATGACGCTTTGGGCGCTTCATGGATGCGCTGGTGCAGCGCGAGCGAGGTGTCATGGGGTGGGTGCGTGGAGCAAGGTGCGCCGAGGCGCCCCAGCGATCGTCGAGAGCCACCGATGCCGGACCTGGAAGGGCTCACACGCGTGACGTTCGAGCCGCCACGTCGTACACTCACAGGCTGCTTGCTCCGGGAACGCCGATCTTTTCAAATACGTGATCCAGAAGTGGTTTACCGGCGGCTTTCTGCGCGCGCACCTGCGACCAGGTGTCGGGGCATCCTTGCGAGACAGGGGCCACGCGGGCCGCGCGCGCGCCCCCGCGCTGTTTTGCTGTCGAGGCCCTGTCCAAAGCCGCCACGCGCGTGCGGAGGTGGTCCCCCCCCGCCAGCCTTGCCGAGTGGTACCACGCGGGCCGCACTCGCGCGCTCTCGCGCTCGCGCGCGCACGGGCCGAAATTATTCGAGTACGAATTTGGTTCTGAGCCATTTCAGGGCAGAGCTGTTCAGGCCCGCGCAGACACATGGTTATAGATATGCATTTAAACATGTATGTATATATATATATATATACACATTGACACAGCACGATTGCTGCTCATTCGCGCTTCTCTCACATTTCCCCAGACATCATCATAATTCGCCTTGCATGAATAATAAGGGTCCGCGCGTCATTGCGCCTGCTGGCATTCACACGCAAGTTCCGCAGGTAACTGAATTCACGGCCGCTCGAGTCCTGCGAGCAAGTGGCCTGTGGGAGGTTCGGCTTGCTGCTCGAGCGTTGGGGTTTTCGATTCCAAGTTCTTCAAGCTAGTTGCCATAGAGTCAACCCGCATAGCAAGGAAGAGCAAGTTTCCAAAGTTACCCGTGCATCCTTCCCCTTCGGCCCATCCGTGACCGCTTTCGCTGGTTGCGCCCCGCTCGCAAAGTGTCGGCATGGCCTGCCAACATGGCCCTTGCATCCGTACCGCGCATCCTGATTCTACGGGTTGACTGTACAATGCTGTCACAAGAAACAATAGGGGCAACAGCACGGGAAAACCGCTTTGCACCACCGTCATCCTCACGACCACTGTCAGCATTTTGACTGCCACCGTGATGAACGGGTCAAGAGAAACTTTGTCAAGGCGGCACGCGGCCAATTTCAACCCGAAGCTGTGTTTTCTCTGGCGTCCTTGTCACCCAGATGGTGGTAGCATACGTGTTATTCGTTGTGCAAACCTTTCCAGCATACCTTGCAATTCAGAATTCCAAGGCGAAGATCGACCAGCTGGTGTCCATCTCGGAAGAGCAGCTTTCGCCGAAGGGTCACAAGGACGACGGCGACGAATCCATGAACTCGACCGTCATGCTGCGCAACCTGCCGGTCAAGCTGTCGCGCGATGACGTCCTCTCCAGAATCGATGCCGAGGGATTTTTCGCGAGGTACGATTTCTTTTACATGCCCATCGATTTCGCAACCATGGCGAACTTCGGGTATTGCTTCATCAACCTAGTGACGCCCGAGGTCGCCCAGGAGTTCTGGGCGCACTTCGACGGTTTTTCCAAGTGGCCGGAGGCCACCGACGGTCCGGTAGCAGTCAGCTGGAGCGCGAAGCACCAGGGGTTGGAGCAGAACGTGGAGCGCTACCGAAATTGCCCCGTGATGTTCGACAAGCTCGCGGACGCTTGCCGACCAGTGCTTCTTAGAAACGGCGTGAGGACAGAACCCCTCGGGCTGGCAACAAGCCTCCTCGTCCTCGATCCCTCCTCCTGCATCTCGCCTCGCCTCCGCCTCCTGCTCCCGGTCACCTGATGCTTCAAGTCTTTGTTCAAGTACGGGGCCACCAGCCGACCCTTTGCCCAGGCCGCTTCTTCTTCTTCTTCTTCTTCCTGAGCTGTTTTCCATCCTGAGCTGTGTTTTTGGACGGCCCCGTGCAACACCAGCCTTCAGAGGCTTGCAACTGTGTCACGTCTGCTCCCCGCGCGTTGCTGTGCGAGGCGTTGGATCTCTGGGCTCCCCCGTCCGTTCCTCCCTCACGGGCAATGCTAGAGTGGGATGGGTTCCGGGGGGATGCTCATCAACACATCGCACATTGGATCGCCAGCAGTGCGGACTCGCTGCCGAGAGCCAGTCGCCGGTCTCATCGGCGATGCGTCGACGCTTCCAGGCCGAGGCTTCCCCCCTGAGCCGGTCCCCTCCTTAGCTCCCGGGAGGTTAACTTCTGTATCGGCGCTGCTACTTTCGACTTGCCTAATCTGGGTCAACCTGGTTTCATCCCGCTTAGTCCAGCGAGCTCAGTCTTGCTCCGGCTCGATCCCAGGCTTACTCCAGCCAGGTCCAGTGGAGTGGCAGTGGCCCTCTAATCGGGTTGTAATCGCGTTTAATCGTTCCAGCGAAGACCCCCCAGGAGTTGCTTCCTAACATGCAGTGGAGACCCGTGCCAAGAAACACCCTGCTTGCCTCCGAATACCCTGGGTTTCTTGGGTTTGTATGGTTTCGCTCTGGAAAGCGCGACGTTCCCGCATCAAAAATTAATGGACATCCTGGGGTCTTAGGGTTGGGTTTCTTGTGGAAGGTTTCTTGTGGTCGGGCCCCTACTGTAACGTTGTCCTCGAGTATGCATCGAGCTCCTCCCGTCGGCTCTTGTGCCGAGCACCTGCGGGTTGAGGGTGGCCCTGGTGGAATCCGCCGCGCCGATCCCGGCCGGGCAGGTGCTCGGTCCAGGGTGTCGGTGTACAGGACGGCCTGGCCAAGGCCAAGGCAGATGGGCAACGGTGCAGTCGAGGCGCTGAAGTAAGGTTCGCTCTGGGCTCAGGGGTGTCCGAATTTTTCAGGCCGTTCCTTAGGTTTGGGCCGGGAAGCTTCGTCGCGGCCGAGGCTCGCCGTGACCAGGAACGCCCCGGCGTTCCTTATGTGGCGTTCCTTCTGGCAGGGCTATGACTGGGGGGTGGCACTCACGGGAGCCTTATATGTCTCCGCAATTCCGCTTTTGGAGTGCATATTCGGGTGCGCTAGCGTCTGGTGATCGATGAGAGAGCGCCGATGTAGCGTCGATGACCGTCGATTTGGCGTCGATGAGCGTCGATTAGCGTCGACTGGCGTCGATTAGCGTCGGTGAGCGCCGACTCGCGAGAACCAGCAAAATGACATGGGAGGCCCCCATGGGTTGCCCCAAAAACGTTGGGATGCGCTCTGGTCTGGGGAGGATGTACTGGCCGCCACTGCCCCAGTCGTCGCCAAGAAGGGGCCCCCGTCGTTGCCCCTCACTTCGCTCCTCCTCAGGATGGACTTCCCGCCGCCGACGAAGAAGCTCCGGCAGCCGCGAGTGAGGACCAAGAAGGACCAGGGTGATTGGAAAGACCCCCCCCAGCTGGGATCGGTGCGGGGGCTGCGAAGGGGAGAGATCGCTTCTGTTTGTTGTCACTCCTTTTTTCCCCCCTGGCGACAACTGGCGTGACCGGGGGGTGTGGGGGAGGATGGGGGTGAGAGGCGGTCTTTTCACGATTTGCGCCAGCGCCGTCTGGAACTGCCTAAGAATGGCTCGTTCCCAGGTTGCGCCGACGCGAATCGTGACGTGACCAGGGGGGAGGAGGGGGTGGCGGGGCTGGTCTCAGTCGTTATCGCGAATAATGAATCGTACAATACGGGCCCCGCGGTGGGTGATATTTGGCCTAACCCAGCTTATAAGTGGCTCATCAACGCCCCAAGCGGCGTCGGAGGGCCAAAGAACTCCGCGAAGTGGGCGGCGCCCACTTGGCACGGATCGCTCACCCCCCTGAGCCACGGCCGAAGCCGCTTGGGGCAGCTGGAACCCTCTCATAAGCAATGTTCGGCCAGACAGAGCCCACCTTAACATTCACCTCTAAACTCAAGTCGGGCGTGTGCCTCCTCTACAGGAGGAATCTTCAGAAACAGTCACAAATAGCCAGGGGACGACTTTTTCCGACCATGTCAGACTACTTTTTGGGCAGTTCTCGTATGCTTTTTCCCCTTCCAACCTCCGCTTGTAGGAGGGCATGCCCGACCTAACCTATCCCCCTGGCGCTCCCCGCGGTCGTCCCAGAAAGGGGAGGGGGCACGACGAGGCGGGTGAGGGCGAGGACGTCGGGGGGGGGGGGAGCCCCGGCGCCCTCGTGCCGTGGACAGGAGCACGACGGAGGGCTTCTGTTTCTGCGGCTCCTGCTCTGGCCCGTCGGGCCCCCGGGGGGCCGTCGAGCAACGAGACTCGGGATGCAGCGCTGGTCCGGGCGAGTGGGTCGAGACCTCGTCCGGGGGGTCCGCATCGGGACAAGGCAGCACGACCTCGGGGGTCCGGGGATGAGGGGGTGGGAAGAGGAGGGGGTCGAGGGTCGAGGCTCGAGCTTTTCGGGAGCTGTCGGGTCCTTGTTGGCTCTGCCCGAGGCCTCTTTGGGGACCTTGTGTGTGAGAGAGAGAGACTTTTGGGGACCTCGTAGGAGCTCCGGGGACGATGGGGAAGATACTGATGATGATGATGATGATGATGATGATGATGATGATGATGATGATGATGATGCTGATGATGATGATGATGATGGTGATGATGATGATGCTGCTGATGCTGATGCTGATGCTGATGCTGATGATGATGATGCTGATGCTGATGATGATGATGCTGATGCTGATGATGGTGATGCTGCTGATTATATGATGATGGTGATGATGCAGGTGATGATGATGCTGATGATGATGCTGATGCTGATGATGCTGATGCTGATGCTGCTGCTGCTGATGCTGCTGATGATGATGATGATGAGGAGGAGGGAGAGGAACAGGAGGATGATGACGATGATGAGGAGGAGGGGGAGGAGGAGGAGGAGGACGAGGAGGAGGAGGAGGAGGAGGAGGAGGAGAGGGATGAAGATGTGGATGATAGGGGAAGATTAGCAGGAGGAGGATGGCGGTAAAGTGCGTAGCAGGCCGCCAGGAGGACGGGGCGAGAGGATTTCTGTCCCTGCGTTTCCGCACACCAGGCGGGCACGCTCGTGTGTTAGGATACCTCCTCCTCCTCCTCCTCCTGCCTCTCCTCCTCCTCGCCCTCATCGTCCTGCTCCGCCTCCTCGGTTCCATTATCTTCCCTCCTCCCCTCCCCTCCCCCTCCTCTTCCTTCTCCACTCCCCCCCGTCGATGAGGACAGTCCTCGTCCTCCCAGAGCAGTACTCGGTACTCGGTACCGAGTAATCCCCCCCTGATTTTCCAGAGACTGACTCTTTTTGCTCCAGGGTGCCTGGCAGTAACATGTGCGTTCTTTCCAGGCTGGAGCGAGCGAGTTGCAGCTGATTGGATGCTGCAGGGCATGCTTTTGTGCCAGGAAGTATGCTGACGCTTTTCCTGGAGGGTAAGGTCTGAAGGGCGCATGGTTGGGCAACGCATGATGGGGAGGAGGGGGAGGAGGGGGAGGGTCAGGAGGACGAGCGAGAGGGGCTGAGGGGGGGGATGAGCCAGAGCTTCACCTGGATCCAGATTGTGGGGGCATGGGCCCATCTTCTGGGGGCACAGCACTTTGGCGCCGATTTGGGGGATCGTGCCCCTAGAATAGGAGTCCATGTGAACGTCTTGGGGCGATGAACTCGCTCAGTCAGCTCGTTCATTGATAAAGCTCCCCTCGTTTGAATGCTCCAGCGTTTATCCTGCAGCTCTCAAGAATATGATACCGGAGGACCCCCCCAATCAGATTTTTGTTAGGGCTATAGTCGGGGGAGCGTAAGACCTGGGTTTGCCGGGACTCGGGTTCGCCATCGTTTTTTGACGACCGCGCCTCGGATTTTGACGAGGAGGAGTTTCGTGGGATGTCTGCAGCGGGAGGCCTCGTCAAAATGCAGGCTCGGCCTCGTCATTTTTTTGACGACCTCGTCGGGGATTTCCGAGTCCCCCGTACCCGGGTCTTACGTCTCCCCGATATAGGGCTATAGGGCTATAGGGCTATTGGGCTATGCGGCTATACGGCTATACGGCTATCGGGGTATAGGGCTATAGGGCTATCGGGCTATAGGGCTATAGGACTGTGACCTATAGGGCTATAGGGCTATGAGGCTATGGGGCTATAGAGCTATATGGGCTATGGGGCTATAGGGCTATAGGGATATAAGGCTATCAGGGCTATAGGGATGTAAGGCTATAGGGCTATAGGGCTATAGGGCTATACGGCTATAGGGCTATAGTGCTATAGGGCTATTGGGCTATTGGGCTATTGGGCACCCCCGGGCACCCCCGGGCACCCGGGCACCCCCGGGCACCCCCGGGCACCCGGGCACCCCCGGGCACCCGGGCACCCGGGCACCCGGGCACCCGGGCCCGGCCACCGAAATCGGCCACCCAGGCACCCCCGGCCACCCGGGCACCCGGCCCCGGCCACCGAAATCGGCCGCCCACCTCACTTCAGCTTTATATCCGCTAGGACCCCTACAGAAGCAAGCTCTGATTGGGGAATGGTGTCTTTGTGTAGCCCCCTTTCGTGCACGGATGGAACGCACACTTCGAGAAACGTGCACAAGTTTGTCAATCCCCTGCGCTTTTCCTCCAACGCGGCAGCTCCCTGCCTGGGATTGGTTGCTCGAGCTCGCGTATGGCAGGCTCGCTTTGCTGGCGTTCCTGGCTGCCTGGCGGATGGTCTCCTCTCGCCTTTCTGGTCCTCCTCCTCCTCCTCCTTCCTCCTCCTCCTCCTTCACCTCCTCCTCCGTCTCCTCCTCCTCCTCCTCCTCCTCCTCCTCCTCCTCCTCCTCCTATATCTCCTCTTCCTCCTCCTCCTCCTCCTTTGTCCCTCCTTTCTTCCTACTGCAGCTGCCACGTTCGAGCCAGTGCCTGATCACTGCGGAAGCGCAGCCTCCTCTGCGGCATGCCGCATCTTGGCGCACCGGGTGCCGCCTTCCGACGTGGAGTGCCGAGCCGAGCTTCCTGCAGTCCTCTCTTGCCGCCTCCTCACGTCGGGCGAAAGGGGGGTTTGGGGGGGGGATTGGGAAAGGGGGGGTTACGAAATTTGCTGCATGCAGCTGGTTTCGGCCCCCCCACCGAGGGGCCCATTCCTCGATACATGGGCGCCTCCCGGCGCCGGGAGGCGCCGGGAAAATCAGCTACGTGAGCTGATTCTCAAACCCCCCCTTTGCTATCCCCCCCTTTCGCCCGACCCGATCCTCCTTTCCCCCAAAACAGAAAACACGTTTTTCCTCCAACGCGGCAGTGGGTCGAATTCGCCAGCGCATGAGCCGCGGGTCGGGCTGGCGGCCCATCAGAACAGCCACTGGCCAGTGCGCGTGTGCAAGCCAGGACAGGTTCCAGAGGCAGGACACGCCCTGAGATCCTGGCGTCGCAAGTTTTTCGCAACGGGCGAGCCTGCCCAGCTTCAAGGGGCCTGGGGACTCTCACGGATCCATCCAGCTCGACATCGCTCGGCAGGAAGATGGGGCCCAGGGCGCTGACCGAGTCTTCTTTTTTTCGTCTGCAATGCTGCGATTTTGTTCGCAGCGTCGGCTCTCGGGGAGGGGGGGCGGGCGCGGGTCCCATGCCCCCGACGCGATGCATGTTTCGTGACGTGGATCCCCAGCGGTCTGGACCCCCGGCTCTTCCTCCTGCGCCGTCTTGTGACGGCCCCGAGGCCCAGTAGTAGTCGGGGGCCCAAGAATGTACACCACCACCTCCCTCCCCCACCTCCCTCTTGCTGGAGAGAGGAGAGAGGAGGAATATCGACGTGGTGGTGGTGTGTATTCTTTGGGCCCTCAGGTGGGGGGCCTCCTCGGGCCGAACAGGGGGAGGAACAAGAAAAAACGCCCGCCGTGATTTTTTTGGGGGGCGGATGCCGCCCCCCCGCCCCCTTGCACCCGCGCGGGTCGCACGCCGCGCGTGCGGCAGGTTCGCGCCGAGTCGACTGGTGGCGACCACTGCCGCCGGCGTGCAGCGCCCCACGCCGCCATGGCGACCCAGAGTCGGCCGATGTGTTGAACGATCCGACGTCTCGGAAGCGGCCGGCCGTTCAACCCAGACCCCCGATCGAGGAGGAGGAGGAGGAGGAGGAGGAGGCGGGAGGAGGAGGAGGGAGGAGGAGGAAAAGGAGGAGGAGGAGGAGGAGGTGGAGGAGGAGGTAGAGGAAAAGGAAGAGGAGGAGGAACGAGGTCTGTAATCAGCCACGCGCAGAGGGGGGTGAGGGGAGGGGGAGGGCTTCTTAGAAGGAGGCTGCTTCTCAGAAGGCGCGGGCCTCATCTATAGATGTATAAGGCCGGCGCCTTCTGAGAAGCAGCCTCCTTCTAAGAAGCCCTCCCCCCCTCCCTCCACCCCTTGTGCGCGCCGCCAACTGGACCCGTTCCCCGAGACCGGTTTTTTCATGCATGGGTCGTTCCTGGACGATCCCGAGGCCCGGCGCGGGCCCCGGGAGGCCGAACATAGGGACACAGACCGCCTGCCGTGAGTTTCTCCGGACTCGAGGGGGGGTCTGGCAGTCGCATTCGATTCCATTCGTGCTTCGGGCCGAGTCGAGTTTTCTTTTCGTGCTTCGGGTCGTGGCGTTTTGCCGCCGACGTCGGCGCGGCCCGCGCCTGCCGTGTGGCCCCGCCCCCGCCCGCGCGCGTGTGCGCACCGGGCGCCCGTTGCCGCGGGCCGGGGCAGGCCCGGGAGGCTTCGTCCTTCGGGGCGTGCGCTGCCCAGCCCGCGGCCGTGGGCTCCCTGCCCCGGCTCCCTCGCAGGATGGGCCTGCTTTCCACCACCACCACCACGAGTTGGAGGGGGAGGGGGTCCTCCTCCTCCCTCCTCCTCCTCGTCCTCCTCCTCCTCCTCCTCCTCCTCCTCCTCCTCTTCGTCCTCCTCCTCCTCCTCGTCCTCCACCTCCTTCCCCCCTCCAACTTATGGTGGTGGGTGGTGGTGGTGGTGGATAACAGGCCCTTCATCGCAGGCGATGTTTCTCCCCCGGCCCCCGACTTGTGGAAGAAAGCCTTGATACCCGACGCTCTAAAAAACAAAAATGGAGCGGCGGGATTTGGTATTTTCGGCCTCTGGGGGCCCTCGCCGGGCCTCGGGAGCGTCAGAAAACGACTCGGGACGAAAATCCGGTCCTGGGGAAGTGGCCCGGACCTCCGGGGCCCACGCAACGAAAAAAGTGGAGCAGCCGGATGTCTGGCAATGAAGCCGCTCAGAAATGAGGGAAACCCTGGGATACACCCCAAACGGGGCTAGTCGGACGCACCTCTATCGAGGAAAGACGCCCCCCATCGTATATCCCAGGGTTGGGCCCCAACTTTCTGGTCCATTCGAGAGCCGCGCGAAGCCTGGGATAGGGGTCGACATATCCCCTGTTACTGTTCCCCCCTCAAGGGTGGCTTTCCGTCCCGGATCCGCTCTTGATGGTCTCGGGCAGGGCTCGTTCCGATGCCCCCGATCTGATTCGATCCGATTTCTCGATGGCTTCCGGTGCCGATTCGAATCGGCTTCGGGGTCCGATTTGGGCTCCACTTTTTCCACTGGGGGCACGCGTTCGCCTGCCGATTTCCGCCGATTCGGCTTCTCCCAGCTCGGCCGCCGACCCCCACCGAGCCGATGCGTTTCGAGCGCCGATCCGACTGCACGGATCGGTTCGATTCTGGGCTCGCCTGCCGCGACCCCCCCCTCCCCCGGGGGCAGCTTTCCGTCCCGGGTCCGCTCCGGGTGGTCCTGGGGCCCGAACGCCCCAGGGGCTGGACGTCAGAGGAGGAGAAGGTGCAGTCGGGCCGAGGCAGAAGAGCGAGGTCGGTGTTGGGGAGGGTGCCCTGGTGTTCTCCGTGTGCGCGTCGGATGTTCAGGTCCCTGTGCGCCCCGGTGACGAGGGCACCCTCGGTGACGCAACGGACGGGGTACTCTCGGTGATCTTCTGATTCGGCGTGTTTTGGCCGGCGGAGAGTGTCTGAGGTTCCGGAGGGCTGCTCTTCTGTGCTATAGGTTCGACAGCACCCATGCCGCTATATACCTCTCCGTCCTTCCTCTCCCTTTTTGGGGGGGCTCCCGGGAGGCCCTCGCCGCCGCGCGGCCGGAGTCGCCTCGAAATATATACTGGTCAAAACGCACCCCGGGAGAGGTCCGGGGAGCAGTGGTAGTGAGGAGGAGGAGGAGAAGTAGGAGGAGGAGGAGGAGGAGGAGGAGGAGGAGGAGGAGGAGGAGGAGGAGGGGGAAGAGGAGGAGGACGAGGAGGGAGGTCGGCACGTTTGGGTTTGCTTTGGGAGGGGGAGGTAGGCCCGTTTCTCAGTACCTTTTGGGCCCCCCAGAGATCGAGGGAAATCGCCGGGCCAGAGAGCCACTCCTGGCGTCGGAGGTCCGGGGCCGTGCGGCCCATATGGGCCTCTTCGGGCCGTGGTCGGGGCCGCTCTCGTGGGCCCGGCTCGGGGAGCACGCTCGTGGCCGAGGCTCGCCGTGGCCAGGACCGCTCCTGCGCTCCCTGGTGTTTTCTTACGTCGAAGGAGCGAGAACGCCATACACATAAACATGAGCTTTTGGTGCTGCGCTCGGATGTCTTAAATCTGCGCCGGGGCCCCCTCGCGGCGCCTCCGGCGCCGCCCCTGGCGCGCTCCGCGCGCCAGCGAGGGGTCTCCAGCGCAGGTCCAAGGAATCCGCGCGGAGCGCCAACAGTCTATGTTTATGGCATTTCTTGTTCCTCTATCACGGCAGCGCGATGACTGCAGTGCTCGCTGCTGACGTCGGGGGGGGCGCGGGAGGGCCTTGGGCTGCCCGCTCAGGAGCGGCCGGAGGGCATGGACGACACCCGAGCCAGCACCGAGCCCGCCCCCAGCAGGAAGGCGCCAGCCCCGGCCAGCACAGAGCCGGCCTACGTGACCACCGACGACGTCTGAGAGCTCCTTCTCAGCTCGGAGGGGCTCGATGTGTCCAGACCGTGACGGACGATGTTTGCCAATGTCCGGCCCCGGGGGGGCCTTCGCCAGGCCTCGGGACCGTCAACGTACATTCGACGCGGAGATCGCCACATGCGCATCTCATTTTCTGGCTCGTCCCGCTGTGAGTGTCTGGCAGTGCGCGTTTCGGTGCGAGAGCGAGTCCGAGTGGACGACGGGCGGGGGGAGTGCAACACTCCCTGGCGGCCCGCAATTGGGGTGCCCAAGAGCTACGCCTGCTGTATCGTGGTCAGCATTGCACCACTACAAGGGAGCAATGTCTGCGGCGCCGAGACAAGCAAACGGCTTGAGAACTTCCCACGGTCACGGCGCGAACGGGGGAGTGTCCTACCCCGTGGCGCCCCCCCTTTGTGGCGCCCAAATGCCACGCTAGCTACATCGCGGTGAGCATTGGACCACCACCAGAGAGATGTCGGCGCCGCCGAAACAAGCAACCCGCGTGAGACATCCCCACGACCTGGGCGCGAACGGGGGAGAGTCCGGCCCCATGGCGGCTACCCCTTGGGTTGCCCAAGTGTGAAGCCTGCTGCATTTGGGTGAGCATTGGACCACCAAAAGAGAGACGTCGGTGGTGCCCTGCGCATGAGTGGGTACGAGCATGAGTGAGTATGAGTGTGAGTGAGTCCGAGCATGAGATAGTCTTAGTGTGAGTGGATGCGTCTGAGTGCGAGTGAGGTGTGCGGGAGCAACAAAAGGCGGGCGAGAGTGAGGCGGAGGCGCCCCAGTAACCACGAGAACCCCTATGGGAAAGAACTGCTCGGGACTTCGGGGGACGCCGCATGGGAAAGTCGCGACGTCGGAGTTCTGGGCATGCACCGTGTCGTCTGGTCGGCCAGGGGGCCAGGGAGTTGGGCGAAGGAGCTCGGTGTGCAGACGCTCCGGAATATCCCCAAGGTTGGGCAGCCGTGGCATCTGGGCAGCCGGACCGAGGTAGAAGATCGAGGTCGGTTCGGGGAGGGTCCCCCAGCGTTCTTCGTGTTTGTTGGATGTTCCTGTGCATCCTGGGAAAGGTGCTCCTGGATGATCTGTTTGCTTTGGCCGACGGAGGGTCTCATGTTCTCGAGAGATGTTCTTCTGGCCTAGATCCGACTGTACACGGAGCTCCCCAGACCCCCGATTTCGCGATTTTCTCGCAGCGCTGACCCCCAGAGGCCTCGACCTACTCCCCAGGGCCGGTTTTTCACGCCACTTCGTTCTTCGACCCCCTGGGGTCCAGCGAGGGCTTCTCAGAAGCCGAAAATGGCAGCAAGACGCAAGAAATAACCGCGTCAGGTCTGAAGACCCCTCCCAAACGGGGGTAACTAACTTGATTCGTCGGCCTCATTGAAGGACTGGGGTCCAACCCATAGGGGGTAACTACATATTTTTCCCCGCGGCACCTGCCGCGCAACATCGACGACGAGCATGAGGAGGAGGAGGAGGAGGAGGAGGAGGAGGAGGAGGAGGAGGAGGAGGAGGAGAGGAGGAGGAGGAGGAGGAGGAGGAAAGAGGGTGGGGAGGCAGGACAAGGAGGGGAGGTGGGGAGAATGAGGGGGAGGCAGAGGGAAGAAGAAGGGCAGCGCGAGGGGAGTGCGAGGGGAGGTTAGTCATTTCTAGCCAAGAAGACAAATGCCAATAAAAACCCAGATACTTCTGGCGCTCCGCGCGGGTTTCTTCTTGGATTCGCGCATTGGCTCCTCGGCGGCTCCTCTGGCGACCGTCTTCTGGGCGAACAGCGATAACCGGCGGCGTCATGGAGGGGCCAAGCGCAAGATCCAAAGAAATTAAACCAAAAGCGTGGGGCGGAGCGCCAACAGTTTATATGTTTATGGCGTTTTTTCTTTTTCTTTTTTTATTCTTGGACGACCATCGAGCCCCTCCAGCCAGCGTCACCCGAGCGCCCGACAGTCTCGGGGAGGGCGTCGGCTACACCCGCCTCGCCGATCCTTGCTGTGGCCGTTGCTGGGCCCAGGATCAGTGCATATCGGAAATCAGACGGGCGTCAATGCAAACGGGGGTCAGTCAGAGTGCGGGATCTTGCAGGATCCTGCAGGGCCAGGGTCGCACTGACCTGGGTAGGGGTGCAGCATCCTGCAGGATCCTGCATTGCCCCGGTCTGGACTGGCCCGGGCCGGTAGATCCCCGAGCATGTGGCTGCCTGGCCAAGCCGAGGCCCCGACCCAGGGGCCCGTCCCTGAGATCCTGGCGACTATTTTTTGTTGTTGTTCCGTGCCGGGCGTTTTCGCTCCATTTCGGGCCCTGGGGCCTTCATAGCTCGATCCGGCTCGAAAAATGACTCGGACAGATGGGGTCTGGGGGTCCAGTCGAGATTTTTGTCCGATGTTTCGTTTGTTTCTCCAGCGCCAGATCTCAGGGGTCATCGGTCCTCAGGACCATCCATCAGAGCCCCGAATCATCAGGGGTAACTCGGGTCAGGGATAACTCGGGTTCGTTTTTCGGGAATCCAAACCCGAGTTACCCCGGACCCGAGTTTCCCCGGATAACTCGGGCGTCCAGAGCCCCGAATCATCAGGGGTAATTCGGGTCAGGGCTAACTCGGGTTCCTTTTTCGGGAATCCAAACCCGAGTTATCCCGGACCCGAGTTACCCCGGATAATTCGGGCGCCCAAATCCAGAATGGGTAAGCGAAAAGCTGGACCTGGGGAAGGGGTCGGGAGCTTTCTGGGGCCGCGGATTGGACGACTCATATCGGAGGATGTCTGGGGAGATCCGATGTCCTGCTTTGTTCCAGAAGACGGGGTCCCTGGAAGCAGTCCCGAAACCTTCCCCAGGACACTCTCGCCGTCCTGGCGAGCGTCTTTTATTTCTTCTTTTGCCGATCGGCGCGGGCCCTCGCACCCCCCCTTTTTGGCTGTTTTTTGGCGCCTGTTTCGAGCGGGTGGAGTCTCCCCCAGAGGCAGCACTCGTGCAGACCGTCGCACTAAGCAGAGGTCCGGAGCCAGTCCCCCCCTTCCCCCCTCTCCCGCCCAGTGTCGAAACGCAGAAGAAGAAAACGCTCAGCTGACTTGGCACGGCACCCCGCCCCTATCAGCAGGAGAGGCAGGTGACCGAAAAACATCAGTGATCGAAAAAGTGCCCAAACTTGTGGCCGAAAACGTAGTGTGACCGAACATGTGACCGAGATTGGAAATCGTCTCGGTTTCGAACCAAACATTTCGGTCACACTCGGGCGCGGCCGGAACACTTCGGGCGCCAGTTGCGGTCACACTCGGGCTGATCTTCGGGCACAGTTTCGGTCACGACGCCTCCCTGATAGAGACGAGGCTGCTTGAGATTTGTTTGCTTACGCTCACGACTTGGTTGATGATGATGATGATGATGCTGATGACGACGATGGTGATGATCTTGGTGATGATGGTGGTGGCGATGATGATGGCGAGGATGAGGATGATGAAGATGATGAAGATGATGACGATGATGCTGATGATGATGCTGATGATGATGCTGATGCTGATGATGCTGATGATGATGCTAATGATGCTGATGATGATGATGCTGATGATGCTGATGATGCTGATGATGCTGATGATGATGATGATGATGCTGATGATGATGCTGATGATGATGCTGCTGATGATGATTCTGAATGATGCTGCTGCTGCGGCTGCTGATGATGATGATGATGATGACTATATGATGATGATGATGATGATGTATGATGATGATGATGATGATGATGATGATGATGATGATGATGATGATGATGATGATGTATGATGATGATGATGATGATGATGATGATGATGATGATGATGATGATGATGATGATGATGATGATGATGATGATGATGATGATGATGAGCGCCCCGGGGATGCCAAGAACGGCAAGGGACCCAAGAAAGCTTCCGCCCATGGACTTGCCCCCACAGCGCGGGGAGGATCTTGGGAGGTGCACGCGCCCGTCCTTCGGGGATTCCCCAGAGGACTCCGGGCCTCTCCCAGGCGGGGCCCGAGCCGATGGGGTCGGAGGATCCTCCCTCCCTCCCTCCTCCCTCCCTCCCTCCTCGTTCTCCCTCCATCCCTCCTCCCTCCTCCCTCCTCCCTCCCTCCCCTCCCTCCATTCCTCCCTCGTCCTCCCTCCCTCCCTCCCTCCCTCCTCCCTCCCCTCCCTCCATTCTGCCCCCGCTCTCCCGCGGGCCCGAGGAGGCCCAGGGCGCACTTCTCGCAGGCGCGGTGGCCGAAGCCTCGCGCCGCAGGGCTCAGGCCGAGGCGCGGCGCATCGGCGGTGCGTCTGTTGCCTCCTCCTTCCTCCTCTCCTCCTTCCTCCTTCCTCTCCTTCCTCCTCCTCCTCCACTTTCCCCAACCCCGCCCTCCCCCGCCACCACCCCTCCTCCTCCTCCTCCTCCTCCTCCTCCTCCTCCTCCTCCTCCTTCTCCCCGACCCCACCTGGGAGGCTTCCAAGGACGGGCCCGGCCAGGCTCCCAGACCCCCGACGTTATGGTTGTTGTTGTTGTTGTTGTTGTTGTTGTTGTTGTTGTTGTTGTTGTTGTTGCTGTTGTTGTTGCTGCTGTTGTTGCTGTTGCTGTTGCTGTTGCTGCTGCTGTTGCTGTTGCTGTTGCTGTTGCTGTTGTTGCTGTTGTTGCCGTTGCTGTTGCTGCTGCTGTTGCTGTTGCTGTTGTTGTTGCTGTTGTTGCTGTTGATGTTGCTGTCGTTGTTGTTGATGTTGCTGTCGTTGTTGTTGTTGTTGGTGTTGTTGTTGTTGTTGTTGTTGGAAAAGGCGCGCGGGGGAGCCCCGGCCCCCCCCCCCCCGAGCAACCGAGCAACCGAGCAACCCTTTCTGGGGGCCTCCTGGGGGCGCCAAGGATTCCCTAATATGATTTCCCAGGAATTCTATAGGCTTCCATAGGAATTCTATAGACCTCCCTAGGAATTCTATAGGCCCCCATCAGAATTCTATAGGCCCCCATAGGAATTCTACTGGCCCCCATGGGAATTCTATAGGCCCCATAGGAATTCGATGGGCCTTCATTGGAATTCTACAGGCCTCCATAGGCATTCTATATAAGCCCACATAAGAATTTTATCGGCCTCCACCGGATTCTATAGGCCTCCATCGGAATTCTATAGGCCTCCGTAGGAATTCTATAGCACCCCATAGGAATTGTATCGGCCTCCGTATGAATTCTGTAGGTCTCCATAGAAATTCTATAGGCCTCCATCGGAATTCTATAGGCATCCATAGGAATTCTGTATAGGTCCCCATAGGAATTCTATTGGCCTCCATACGAATTCCATGGGCCTACGGGGCTGTACGATGATGTTGATGATGCTGGGTAGGAAAATGAGGA